ATCATGTTGATGAGGGTTCATATTTATGTATTTTGAAAAAGATGGAAAATGTTCCAACTATTCCTGTAAACAGTTAGGACTGTAAAATGTTTGCATAGCTTTATGACTTAATCCTGAAATAAGCTAATGATAAAGCTTTCCTTAAATGTCTATTCACATTTTTATCTTGCAGTCAAGCCTACACACAAATTAAACAGTTTGAGCAGTAATCAAACAGTCCTGCAAGGCAATGATGCCACATTTAATTGCCGGACAGAAGCCTTTCCTACAGCAACCACATACAGATGGTTTAATGATGGCAATCAGATAACCAATTCAACAAAGTTTGAAATTTTCAATGTCGGTGGTGCTGAAGAAAGTAGGCTGACCATCAAGAATGCTCAGAAGGGAACTGCTGGACAATACTCATGTGATGGCACAAATGGAGTTGGAACTGGAGAGAGAAAGACTGCTTTCCTCTTGGTCAATTGTAAGTTTTATCCATTTGTGTGTTATGAACTACACAGTGTTGTAGATTTGTCAGATGTGTGTGCTTGTTACCATAAATTATCTTGTATCCCCTTTTATAGCGGTTTACTTGGTATAATTGTACAGACTTTGCTATTTGATTTTTATGACATAAGTTACTTTTGTTTTTAGTTTATTTAAATTTTTCAAGTATGTGCATTTGCAACAAATTCAACAAAGCAACATAAAGTGAATGGGTGGTTCAGGGCCACCCCTACCTGGACAGGTCTAGGCTCCCTAGGAAAATTTTTATAGGTTAAGACTTTTGCAGTTCTACTCTCCTGCAATTTAGTTCTATTATGATTTGTGTTGCTTTGTTGTTACAATATGTCATACTCTTTATAATTTGTGTTGCTTTGTTGGTCCGAGATGTCAGGTGATTTGAAGAGAATTACTTGCATGTTGGGAGGACAATGATGTTTGTGTAAATAATACAAGCATGCATCCAGCAGGGTAGATTTACCCACTGTCCAGCTACTGTTAAAACCCCTGCCTGAAATGTTCCACTTTGGAACATGACTTTGTTTTGGTTTCTCCATGCTATGAAGACTACAGTAAGCTTATAAACTCACTTCACGTCTTTTTTCTCTTGCAAGATAAACCTCAGCTAGTCACTGTGACTCCAGACCCAGCCGAAGTGGAACTTGGACAAAGCATAACACTCACATGTGAGGCTGATGGATTTCCAAAACCCTCCTACTCCTGGAAGTTTAATGGAGCAGCAATTGGAGACCGGCAAAACACTTTGCAACTTGCAAGTGCACAAGTATTGAATACAGGGAACTATACATGTGTGGCAAGAAATAGCTTTGGTAGTGCTGAGAAAACAAGACTGGTGAATGTGAAATGTAAGTTCACTTCCATAATGAACTCTTGAGGTTTTTAACAGACCTTTGTGTCACAGGTTAATTTTATTTTAAACTAGTGTGATTATGATAGTGTTACTATGAGAAAAGTTCCAATTTTGTTAACCTGAAAGTCATTTGACACTACAGCATGTACTTTAAGCCTGTACACCCTAACATCAGTATGTATATTCTTCATTTTCTCCCAAACTGTTGATAAAGTTGTCATTGTAGCAGTAGCACTTTGCATGTTACAAGAACATAGATACACAGTCATGTGGCATACGCATGGTGAAAACGAAAAATTTTATCATGTCAATCACGTGATGAAGTAGCATGCAAGTTAAGAATTTTTCTGAGTGTCTCCTATTTGTTAACAGACAAACCAACAGTTACAACCTTTACAACTGGGAACCCTGATAATACTGCCATGCAAGGAAGAAGCGTGACTCTTACTTGCATTGCTAATGGGTATCCTCCTCCAACATACACCATCAAACGCACAACATCATCAAGTACATCAACCCTGAGTGGCACCTCAGGTGGAAGATACACAATTTCTAATGTGCAGCTCAGTGAGGAGGATAACACATACAGCTGTGAGCCACAAAATGTACTTGGAAATGGACCCGAACAGCCACTGAAGATCACAGTTATAGGTGAGAAATAGTGCTGGTTAAACATACATGATTTTTAGCGAAGTCAAACCACAGTCTTTTAGAAGGAAAAACTAAGTATTATCTAGAAATTAGAATGAAGACAAAACCCCCCGATTTGTTCAAAAATAGAGGCACATCAAATATCAAAGAAAATTTGCAATTTCCTTAACATGGGGTTCATGCAAAAATCGTTTGCTATCCAAAAACTGTTTTTCTTAAAAGTGTCAAACTGGTGGAAAAACAACAAAGTGTTTAGGTGCATATCCAAGGTCTTCCTTGACAGGACTCACAGTATTACGTATGAAGCAAAAGAAAAATATTCACAAGATGTGAACTATAAAAGTTAAAGAAAAAAGCTCATCCATCAAAATTTAGCCAGACCATTGTGGGTAGAATTTGTAGAATAATTTGGTCTCCATTGCAAAATGAACACCTTTTACAGATTTCTCATGCAATTGATCTCCCATGTTTCAGCTGTTGTTCACCCAATTTCAGAGCCAGCGGTTTGTGCAGCATTGCATTAAAATTCTTTTATTTTGTTTGTTTTTTTTTTTAGTATTTTAGACTCCCTATAAAACTGTTTATTTCAAAACTCATTTTTAATATTGCTTGCTTTTATTTCAGTGCCACCAACATTCCAGAGTCAGCTAGTAAACAGACAAACAAAGACTGAAAGTGACACTGTGAACTACGCATGTACAGTTCAAGCCAAACCTGCTGCAAAAGTTGTTTGGAGACTAAATGGAAAAAATCTGACAAACCCCACACATCCATACAATGTCACAGCTAATTTCGTACCAGTTCCAAATTCTAAACTTTTGAGGACTCTTTCTTATTTGACCATTGATAAAGTAACTTGGCAGCAGAATGGGACTTTCTCTTGTGTTGCTTACAACAATGCTGGTCAGAGAAGTCAAACCACATTTCTTGAAGTGCGCTGTAAGTATTCAA